TTGAAAGAGCAAAATGACTTCAGTTTGCCAAAGCCATGCACACTGGGATTGCCTTGTCATCAGCAGAGCATTGCTGGGAAATCTCATCTGTAATCTCACGAGATCTCGGGGAAAGGCATTTTCCTCCCCTGAGATGATGTGTTCATGGTCACATGTCCTTGTCACATGTGCCAGTAATCCAGGAAGTAAAAGGAGAGCTAGTAATCTGCCCTTAGTAAACATGGCCGCTGTCAGGAGACTGGGGAAGAAAAGAGAAATAAGGAATGCAAAAAAAACAAAGCCGACAATTATCTAGAAGTATGTGTTTGTAGATCGTCATTACTAAACATTTCTAAGTGTATTTGTTTTTATTTTAAAGATAGGCGTAAAGGTCCGCTGTAACGCTGAAGTTTAAAGGTAAATTCCACCAGTAAAAAAAAAACAAAAAAACATAAAATAATAATAATAATAATAATGTGCACATATTCATAACAGAAAAAGAAATGTGCATTTATTATTATTTTTCACATTGGAGTCAGTAAAACATTGCAACCGCGTGGCTGGAATTGGTATATACAAGTGGCTAATGCACAACTAGAATATAATCTAGCTATAGCACACTCAGTATACTGAAGAGGAGTGCTGTGACAATAAGCAGACTTCCTCAAGATAAGTCTCCAATAATAAGACATTTTATAGCTCACTTTTTTTATATTTTGTTTTTCTTTCAGATATATTTATTGATTTTCACAAAAAATACACACGGGTGAGCCCGCTGGGTCAGGGCTTGAACAAACGGCACAGAATTGATCAAAACCGGAACAGACAAAATCTGGAGCAGTTGTGCCTTGCAACCAATCAGCTTCTCTCTTCAGTTTGCTCAGTTAAAGTTTGAACATGAAAGAGAGATGCTGATTGGTTGCCAGGCACATCTGCTCCGGTTTTGATCAATTGCCTTCAATGTATAATACAGCAATGCAACAAATCAACAAGCAAAGGAAGAGGGTTGGAGGCAGGGGGGACTGGGCCGGGTGGCAATTGCCCCCCGGGCCTCTCTGGTGGCTGCAAAAACAGCCCGCTTTTTTTTCTCTTGCTGTGTCTGTGTGTTTGTGGAGACACACATGGCTTACTAGCACACACAAGGGTGGCTCCATAGGATCCTGCAAAGGGAAAGGAGCGTCCCAAAAACAGGATATCAGAGACCAGTGCTCAGGGGATCAACTGATTCTGCAAAAAATAGAGGAGCAGTCTCCATTGTAAGTGATTACATCAACATTTGAAATAGCTTAAAAACATTTTGACTTTCATTTCACTTTCAGAAAGCCATCAGGTAGAAAATGGGGAAAATTGTTACAAAAAGTTACAACACACAAAGCCACAATCAGAGATGAAAGGATTGACAATGTTTAGGGCAGTGATTCTCAACCTTTCTAGGGCCGGGACCCCTTGGTAACATTTGCCAAGTTGTGGTGACCCCCAACAGAGCATTGGACCCAGGACTTAGTAAGGCACTGGACCCAGGACTTAGTAAGGCACTGGACCCAGGACTTAGTAATGCACTGGATTCAGGAGACTTAGTAATGCTCTGGACTCGGGACTTAGTAATGCACTGGACTCGGGACTTAGTAATGCACTGGACTCAGGACTTAGTAAGGCACTGGACTCGGGACTTAGTAATGCACTGGACTCAGGACTTAGTAATGCACTGGACTCAGGACTTAGTAAGGCACTGGACTCAGGACTTAGTAATGCACTGGACTCAGGACTTAGTAAGGCACTGGACTTGGAAATAAAAATAGAAGCACAATCACAAGAATATAAGCCCTCCCCTGCTACCTGCTTGCCTGCTCTGTCTCCATGCAGCTTTTTCAGCCCCAGCACTGCTTAGACGCCCGCCTCCTGCAGAGCTCACATTGTATGGGAGGCAGGAGGACAGCAGCGGCTGTGAATAGAAAAGTCCTGCTGTACACACTCCCCGGCCACTAGATGTCGCTGCAGCGGCCAGGGAGTGTGTATAGCGGCACTTTTATATTCAAAGCCGTTGCTGTCCTCCCGCTGACTGACACTGCTGCGCTAGGAGGAGGCTCTCACCCAGCACAGCAGAAGTGGATGCTGCGACCCCCTCAACAATGGGTTGCGACCCACAGGTAGAGAACTGCTGGTTTAGGACACCAGGTCCCCTATATTGAGTCACATCCCATCTGTGACAGTATTTGTACTGCACTTCTTCTCTTAGCTGGCCCATGTGTAAGTTAGCTATTGTGATTTTGTGTATTTTTTGTGTACATTGAACTCGTATTGATGATGAAAATTAAAAAAAGGAAATAAACTAAATAAAAAAATAT